CTGACATTGTTATGACATCTGCTTCAAACATTACAATCCACTTCACCAGCTAATTAGCTACTCTTTAACAGTGATGCTATAGAGCTACCGTAAAAACGGAAGTTCAGAGACAGAATTCTAAAGTTAACTGCGCACTTGTTTCCCTGAGGCATAAGGTCTATAAAATCAATATCACATTTGCAAATTCGCTCACATGCTGATGTTAGGGAAAACAGCACTTTTGCTTGTGTGTTATTACTTAACTATATCATACATTATTATTAAAAAAATCGACTTTTTTGTTTTTGCAAAGTGGGTGATACTTCATAATCTCAGCTAGCAAATCGTTAAAACAAGAATTATGATATTATTGTAGACGATAAATATCACACACTCCTAAAAAAGTACACATCTTCTCAATAATCCACACAATTTGAAAAAAAAAAATTGATGTTGATGGTACAAATGCAGCGAGACAGGTTATGTGCTTCAAGTTTAAGTTTAGAACAAAGTATGAGCAATAATAATAGTGATTATTTCCTTAGCAAGAACCCCAAATTACATTTTGGGCGTCTTCTAATAAAAGGATTTTCAAAATAGTTAGATTGATGATGAATTATGTTAACTGCTGGTCACTGGCATACAATAATTCCTATTGCACACCATGATTTTTACTCAAGCAGCAGTTTCCATGGCAACAGCCTAAAAAGGCAAGCAGCTTTTATGCTTACACTGTTCAAAATGATTCAGTGTCTATACCTGCAAGTGAATATGTATTGACCTCCATTTATATATATATATATATATATATATAAATGCCTTCACATAATTTTCCACTCTGGGTTACACATTCTGTATCTTATACACATACTAAAGCACTGCAGGTTCGAATAGATATATTGTTTGGATATATTTTGGTTGTACAGCATCCCTCCAAAGTACACAAAGAAGCCGCCTTTGTCCTATTAAACGCATACAAGTACACAAGCACACCCAAATACATTTGTTCTTTAGGAACAAACTACACTTTGTTAAAAATTATAAGATTCAGAGCAAGTCAGAGAATACTGAGTTATACCTGCAGGCAGTCCTGGCTTCTAACAGAATGTGAATTTATATTAGGAGCAGCAGTTATGGTCATGAGTGGGAATGAGGAAGCCAGCGGGTCTGTACTTAATTTGACCTTTAGCCTGAAGCATAAAATATAAAGACATTAAAAAATACACAATGAAAATAGTGTTCACTAAGCTTTGTGTTGACAACTGTATATGCATTAGATCATTTAATCTTGAGTTACTGTACATAGTAGTAATGTGTAGCTACTGTGTTTGGCTTTTGTATGGCAGAAGAGATGTAATCTTTGACATATATTTATAAGGCTTTAAAATTGTTATTTTTAGCAGAAAAATCATAGCCAACTGTCCAGCAGATCTAACGGTCTGGTAGACGTTAACTGACATATTATAGATGCTTGTTGTATGAATGCATTTTAGTGATGCTTTATTATTAGACAATAACAACCATGCCTTAGTTACTGTTTCCAAAAGAGTTTGTTGTTCCACAAGAGTTTCCACAAATTGTTCTAGTACATTTAAATTTGATCTAAAAATTGATTTATTTCTCTCACTCAATAAATGTCCTTGTCTTCCAAGATTCACAAACCAAAGGTTGTCCACATGAGAGAGCCTTCTCATTATTTTATCAAAGAAGCTGCTTCATCTGCAATAATGATGTTCATTGAGCATTGCTATTTGATATGGAAAACGGGAATTATGTAGTCAGGCCCTGAGCGGATGAGATTGAGATAAAAAAAATAACTGACCAAGCCGTGGAATAATTAATAATTACTCTGAGAAAGGAAGTATCCTTTTATGTATTTTATTGTTTTCTTGTATAAAAGAGCAAATTTGGCATACAGAGATACATTCACTTGTCACAGTATTGTTGCTTTGTTTTTTAAATGCAAGCTCAAACATTTCAAGGATGGCGTTAGAATATATGCAAAAGCACACCCTCTTTCCCTTAATAAAAGACACGCTCTCCGTCGATCAGCATCATATGCTTTGATTCTTTCTATTTTGTTCCTAATTCCACACAAAGTGTCGACAAGAGCCCAAAATAAGTAATTCTATCAATAGAAAAAACAGGGGAAAATACTAGCATGCAAATGCAACTTTTGTCAATAAGCTTCGAGAACTTTGAACGAGGAGAATGGCTTTACAAAGTGATAGTCCAGATTGCCACAGTGAGGACACTGCTGTACATTGCTGTACTCAGAGAAATACTGCATGCCCACACGTACATCTATGACAGGTTTCCCACAATGCTTGCAGTTCAGCCGGGCCTAGGCAGACAGAGAGTTGTAGCGCATTTAAAACAGAACTTTAGCTATTTATATATATAACTATAAAGTATATAATTTATGAGCACAAACAAACTGATTACCTGGCAGCATGGTGATGCAGCCAGTATGTCATATGTGTACATTGTGCCCAGCTGGTGCCAGCTTCCATCCCACCTGGATTTGCACTTTATACACACGATTTTGTGCACTCCTTCCAGGCAGTCCACACAGATGGCATAAAGGTGCATCAGCCTCCCTTTAGAACATAAACAGAAAACCCTTTTCAACTGCAATTAGACTCTAATTAATGAAAATATATTCTAATGGGTTTTAATGATATGCCATGATCAAAGCATTATTATCGGTCACAGCTGCTTTGCTTCTTTATTAGAAGAAGAAAAGGATTCGCTCTATTCCCAATCAACTCAAAGTAATTTATGTTTTTGGTTCTTTGCTCAAAACCTTGATTTAGTCTTCAACGACAGTCATATTTCATTCTCAAATGCTACTTAATGGTGCTTGAATTGTTTTTGCTGTGGTAAAATTATTATCATGCACAGTGTATGAACTGTCTCAGCTCAGTGTTATTTAATAAAAATGGAAAAGCTGGGAATGGAAAAGTTTTTGCTGTTCTTGCTATATCAACCATTAACAGTGAGCCTGCAATGTTCCAAAAAAGTCAACAAACTTTTTTCTAACCAGGGCAAAAGAGACTCTATGAAAAAAATGACAATGTAAACCAAGACTAAAAACAAGGCAATAACTGATATTTTTGTTTTAGGGATATTGATAACTTCACTACTTTAAAAACATCGATACTAAAAATTTGCTAACCACAGAAATGGGAAATATTAAATTCTATACAATTTACAATAAAAAATAAATACAATTCATAATTCATTATGAGATTAGTGTAAGATTTCACTTAATGTTATTGAATTATTAGGGTTTTAAAAGGTTACCTTTAAATGAGTGTTAGAAGATGGCAAAAGTAATCTAAATCTAACCAATAATGATGGAAAATAAATAAATATTGTCAAGCTACCGATACGGAGCGTATGTATTGTGAATCCCTAATGTATATTTTTGCTTAATATTAAATAAATATAAAAGTGATGTCATAAATTTGATAGTGACAAAATTGCACAAAAAGGCACACCTGCCAAATGAATAAATGTAAGTGATTTGTCTTAAGCACTGATGTTATTAAAGTGACTGAGCAAGCTTAAAATAACACAACAACGTTCATACTTGAAATCATTTAGGATGTTTGCATTCACTGAAATTTGTTTAAATCAACAAAAATGTAATTGAATTTAAACAGAATTTAATTTGAACTCTGTAAAACTTGTGAGCTGAGAAATTTTTCTGATGCAGAATAAACTGTAGAAATATATGGAACACTGATGCACAATAACACTTTCCACACTAATATTTTTTTTTATATGAAAAGTAAATGAGAACCAGCCCCTTTTGAGTGTGAATAGTGGATTCGCTCACCTTGTAAATGGCAAGGTACATCATACTCAATCTCATCATGGCGTGAAGGGCTCAGGAACAGCGTTCCATCCACTAAAGGGAACTGCTCAAAGATGGGCAGGGTGTGATGGCAGAGGGCACAGTTCACCACATTGCGGTGACTCGCACTGAGCGCAGAGAGGATGAACTTCCTGAGGTCCTCTCCCTGCCCGGCCTGGGCATCGTCCTCCATTCGCACATGATAGGTGTTGAGCTTGTGGCGTGGAACGTGCGTGAGCAGCTCAGAAAGATCCAGCCTCCTCAAGAACTGCACAGAGTTGTCTCCGGGAGAAAGCCGAGGGAGGCACATGTTGGTGGCTCCCTGCTCAAATTGAGCCCCGCCATGTGCCACCCCACCTCCGGACAGCAAATGCTTCCTGTGGCCTTCCATATGAACCGCGTTCTTAAGAAACTCGCCCAGGTGCCTCGAACTCCGCGGGCCACCGAGGGACTGGGGGCAGAAGGAGGAGAAGACCGACGGAGGGGACTGAGCGGGGGATTCGCAAGGGGAGAGAAGCCCGTGGGAAACCCCGCTGGCGGCATTGGGAAGACCAGCGTGACACCTCTCCAGACAGTTCTGCCAATCTGCCGATTGTCTGCGAGACAGTTCCTGACTGGAGCCGCGGTGCGCTAGCTTATGGCTTGCAGATGATTTCCCTTTCTTGGGCTCATCGGCAGCTTCCGGACCACCTCCGCCGCATGCACCACCTACGCAGGCAGAACTGCTGGGCTTCCCGCTCCCTTTCTCCGGTACCTTTTTCTTGCGCTCGTCCTGCATGCGTTTCACCTGGTACCAGTCTGTGTCTTTTTTCAGGTGTCCCTGGCCACAGCGGCAGGAGCAGAAGCGGAAGGCCAGATCGTAGCCCTTTTTGGTCCACATGTTTTGTCGGCACTGCTTCTCGTTCCAGCTGCGGGCCCGGCCGATGCAGTTGAACTGCACCAGGATGCTGCTCTCCCACTCATAGAAGCACTGCAGGTGCATCCAATTGCTGTAGGGGCAGATTTCACTGTTGCACACCACACGCTGGTAGTCGTCCTTCTCAAGGTCAACGGGACGGCCCAGACTGCACACTAATGGGGTGGCACATGGAGCCTCTGCCAAACACAATGATATATTAATTTAGGCTTAATGCAAGAGAATAGCTCACATGACAATTCTTTCATCATTTAAACCTGTTTGACTTTCTTTCCTCAGTGGAACAGAAAAAGAAATGTTAGAATGATTCACTTTCATTGTAGGTGAAAAGAAGATGAAATGAAAGTGAACGGTGACTAAGGCTAACATCTTTTGTGTCACAGAAAAAAAATTGAGCTTGGAACAACATCATTTAAATTTCTGGGTGAACTGCTCCTTTAAGGTAAAATATATGTAATGCAGATTACAATGCCTTATACACTAAAAAATAGTAATTAAATAAATTAATGTTATTTTGCATGGGGTTCAATGTTTTGTATACTAATGTAAAAATTAATGACTGAATTAAAAAGTAAACCCGAAAATTAACATGAGAAACATTTGAATAAAGCAAACCTTCACCAAATTCATGAAGGGACATCTATTTATAGACAGTGTGATTCATGCAGCTTCACTGGGCAGAATGTTCAATGTCAGTACATCACTTCCATTTATGATAACTCTGTGGATGCGAATCCCACTCAAAAAGAACAAATATTAGCAACACTGCTGTGAATGGTCTGAATGTGTGTCTCATGAGAGAAAGGGAAAGACAATTATACAACAGAGAGCCTCATTCCTCAAATTTGATTGGACAGCGCTGCTTTTTCCTGTGTGAATTCTGATTGTTCACTACATTTCAATCCAGACTATGTAAGTAGAGAGTGACAAATGTCAATGTGTTTTCTCTCATGCACTTAAGCAAAGTTGTATAAATTCAGCTGCGGCAACAAAAAATGTTTCTTTTTTTTATCTGGCTCAATAATCGCTCTGACTGGGTTTCTCTCACTGAGCGTGTTAAAGTGAAAACATGGAGTGGAGTCAGGTGATTAAAGCACTTTCTAATTTTTTAGCATTTAGGAACAGCCCTGTCGATCCGCTCCACTCAGAAAAACGGTTCCAGTCCAGATTTTTTTATGCAGCACTAGTGACCAGCAAAAGTTTTCGGAACTATTTTTGTTCACGGTGAAGACATACAATTTGTCTAAAACCTACTGGAGTTATCGGTCAATGAATAGTAATAATCATGCCGTGTAGTACTAAATATTACCTGTGCCCTAATATTCAACAGCTCTTGCTGCAAATATTCCATTATTCATAGCTGCCACTCAAAGATAGATACCACTTCCATTACCTCAAGAGCCAAAGCCATTCTATGCATTATTAAACACTCTAACTGCACATCATTAGGGTGACACGACCTGTCATTACACAACACTGATCTCCAAATCACATGCAACTCCTTGCCAAGTGCATCTACCCTTGAACAAGGCCTACGCAACCACCTTGTGCAGAACGATAAGTGAAAACACGGAAATCTCCAGGCAATGTCGTAACAATTCTGAGGGTGATGACGCGGAACAAAACAAGTTGCTGCAAGTGAGAGAACGTTTAAAAGGAAGGTAACGCTCGTTCAGGGAAACATTCACTGAAGTGACGTTCTTCTTAACTTACCGCTTCTATTGTCGCTCGGCGGACCCGCTGTCGCTCCAGTCAACACCGAGGCAGTTCCTCCTGTAACCGCAGACGCAGAGGCTCCATTTTCTTGCTCGTCCCCGCTACTGTTCGTGCGTTTATTTCTCTTCCCCTTGTTGCTTTTTTGGTTGGGCATGATGGTGCGCTCAGTATGAATGCAGCCTGTCAGCGACAGCCACCGAGAATTTGTGCGGATATCATGTCGAGGGTGCTTGACGAATCCAATGCGAATCGGAATGCACGGGGGATGCAGATGTTACAGTTCGATCATCATCCTCCAGATTTGTGCAGGCAGTCTTGACAGCAGAGGTACACCATGAAGAAGGCGTGTCCCTCTCTTGTTTTGATTCCTGCTCTGAAGAGAGAATGTTCCTCTGGCCCCGCCTCCATCTCTGATCCAGACCCGGAGCTCAGTTATTAATAGCACAGACCTAAGAGGGAGTCCCGAGCAAATAATCGACACACTGCTAAAATGATTTAAGTCATACGTGCTTTGCCACATATGGCTTTACAAGTGATAAGCATGCTGTTAACGAGATAAGACCTTCATTTTGCTATTCGATATATTTTTTTTAAATCAATAACCTAAAATGTTTTTTCAGCCACACTTCATTGGAGACCCATTTTAAGTTTCACATAGAACCTTTTATGTGCTTTAGAGAAGCTGTGCCATCTGGAACCTTGTTGTAAATTATACTAAAGAAGAACTTTTTCCCAGTCCTCCAAAGAACCATTTTAGGTACAAATGCCTTTCAAAAATTCTAAATCTGTACATTTTAACTGGGCTCATTCATTCAAAGACAAAAACAGTCATAAATTTGAAAGATAAGAAAAAAGTGTCTCCAGTTCTTGTATTTATATAACAGTTTATTGCAATGTCTCCAGCCATTTGAGAAGCAGATGAAGCATCACAAGAAAGACAGCAACACAGAAATCCAAATCCACACTAAAAACTGGAAGTTTGAAGTCAGTTCTAAATGTTGAGGAACAGATGCTGTAGAGATTCATACATTTATCTTTAAAAAAAGAACATTAAAAGCTTACTCTGCAGTCGATTTTTATTTTTCCCCCACTGTCATAATCCATTTAATGACCCAGTACAAAGTTATAAGCATACTCCCCTCTATTTAATTGTTGAAGTCTTTATTTCATATTGCTGCTCACGCTAAGGTCTTCCTGAGCTTGAAATGGCACAAACTACACCATTGGGAGCCTTATAACATTTGTACAGACATAAATAACAAGAACAGCACAAGTACAATGTGGGGATGTTTTTGCAAGAGCTTTATAAAACAGAATATCACACTGGAACAGTTCAGATGATTTGTTGAACTTGTTTTTTTTTTTTTTACATTTAATTCCAGAAAATCATACAGCAGATAAATGTTACTTACTATTTATGTTTATCAGCCTTTGAGATGTTATAGCACATATAACCTGAATGACCATGAATAATTTCACAGTAATGGTACTGCAAACAAACAACCTCATGATTACAGTAAAAGACAGCAATTAAGCAGTCTACAATCAATACAGTCAGAATAGGACATCAGAGGTATATTCTGTAAAACTGATATTAACCTGCGTGGATATTCATTTCCGTTAGGTTGAAAACAGCATTTGATGAATTCATTCAATCCCAGAAAACCAGTAACATGATCATGCACACTATAATTGTTAGCTGTTGAGCTGACTGAACAAGGAAGATTGCTACATTTAAAAAAAACAAACTGTGCAGATCACTCCCCTGAGAGAGAAAAAGTTGCTGTATAAAAATATTCCAATCCAGTATACAAAAATGTTACATTCTCAAGTATATATTTCCATATCAAAAATGTAGCAATGACATGTCAAAAACACATTTGTACTTTTTACTTGAGTTTAGAAAAGACTGTAGATTCAGTCCCGCAGTAATATGACATCAACGTTGTCGTGAACTCCTTGCAGTAAGAGCTCGCCTTCGAATGCGATGACCTTCTTTCGCTTGGCCGCTTTCAGCGTTCCAACCAGAGCTTCAAAGAGGTTGGCGCATTGGTCATCATTAAACAAGACTCCAAATTTGACACTGATCTTCCCATCTGCGTCTGAGACAGTGAGAATGGTCAGGGTTCGCTCTAAATCATCATCAATAACAACCCTGAATATCCAATTAACATTTACTGTATGTACTTAATAAAGCACCAAAACAATATAGAATAAGTGTTAGCAAATCTCAAAAGCGAAGCAGTATGAGGAATCATTAGCCTGGTTTGAGTAAATACCGTAGAGTATTGAGAGTACAGTGCAGTATGTCAACTAATAGAAAGTAAACGTGCACTTCTGATATAACGCTTGAAATTTCAGAATGAACAGTACTGCTCCTATTTATCCAGAACTCCTCATCTAAAGAAGCATCAAGACCTGCATTGTTAGTAAATTATGATGTGTAAAGCCATCTTAAACATCTCAAAGTACATACATGTGAATGAACGTAGATTTCAACAGGTTATATAATATACAATATATTAAAGTATATTAGAATGATTTCTGAAGGATCATGTGACACTGAAGACTGATAGATAGATAGATAGATAGATAGATAGATAGATAGATAGATAGATAGATGACTGATAGATAGATAGATAG